ATCACAAACAGTGACATTCTCATATTGCTTAATCCTGTAATATGACCAGTTAATAAAGCTCCCGCCATGTTTTTCTTTTATTATTAATATTTTTATTCAAAAAACGAAAAGAATTTAGCCAATCAGAATCTCTTTTAGTGACGTCAATCATTACAGGGCATTATCCCCGGCTGTTTTTAGCCAATCAAAATTTCTTCTAGAATTTTTCATAACGTCGTATTTAGTGTTTCCATATCGAGTAAAATACCTGACTGTATTTATTATAAAAATAAAAATAAAAAACATTGTCTTTATTTTCTTTATTTAAATCATAGTTATTGCCTTGGTAAAAAGGTAACAATTGTGGGGCTTTGGTAAAAAGACACGTTTATTTGCTTTAGTGAGCAAGCAAGCAAGGTTAGGACTAATGTTGTTGGCTAACCATGGGTATCAATAAAGTATCATCCAAAGGTTAATTGGAAATACTGGTGGTATTATTGTAATCATAAATGTAAGGCTGTTAAATAAGTTACTTGAGTTGTTTTGTAAGTAAACCAAAGCAAGTTTGCAATCAGTCAGCAACAACTGAAACAAAACGATCATAAGTGAATAAAAGGAACTTTATAGCATTGCAAAAGGGCCATCTTTATTTAATTACAGTTATCTGGGACCATCAAGTGTGCCCACAGATTCATCTAGATGCAAGAAGAAAGATGGAATTCGGAAACTAATTAAATGACAAGCACCAAATTATTAACTGACAAGATGTATTTTAGTTAAACGAGAAAAAAATAAACTTAACTTTTTAATCCTTTTCCTGATGTACATAAGTTTATTACAACGTTCACAAATAAATTAAGTTGATAAACTGCATCACCCAAGTAATAAATAATACCAAGACCATGCAGAAATGAAAATTTTAGGGAACCTGATTTTTCAAGTAATAATGTGTGTCTATTCAAATAAATAAATAATTGAAGATCAAGAAAAATTTTTTTTCCTTAATTCCAATTATATAGTTCCTTAAAAAATTATGAATAATAAATCTGATGATAATAACAGGTGTCAGATTTAATATAAATTTTCCTATCACAAACATACAGAACTGTGCAATTAAGCACTTTTCAGCACCATGGAATTTTTTCTCACGGGTGAAAGCATCCTGAATGAGTTGGAGGCTTTATAAAATTGTCAAAAATTTTCCTTATCTTCACTTCAGACTAGGCTTGGCTATTACAATATGAGCATTGATTGCTGATGAGAGTCAGCACTTGAGTGATGGATAATTGTTTTGTGTTATTTTCTCCCCTAGAATAAAGTCGGTATCTGCAAATTATTCGAAATTCTGGAACTTAGGAGGTTATAACCTGGGTTGCTGTTTTGCTGCCTTTCTAAATTCTGGCCATTTTCTAGGAAAGGTTAGATAGGATTCACAAAAATTACCTTGACCAATGATGCAAGCTTCGATAAACTTCAGGCCGCGCCTCCCCCCCGAAAATTTAATTGCATCATTGTATCATTGGGGGATCAAGTCAGATTAGCCTTTTGAACATGAGGAATATGAGAATGACTGTAATATCTAAAATAGCATGTGTGCCTTGATGATTGTCATTTTCCCGTAATCAAAAGTTACATATTGAATTGTTTCTTTTGTAAAATTCGTGTTGTCTTGTCATCCTCTTATAAATTATAATGTTAAAATTATTGACTACGAAAAGTAAAAAGATACAATCATTTATTAACTTGATAAGAATTTTGTAACAAATACTTAAAAGACATACAAGTTCCGCTCCATGGTTTGTTTTCAAAAATAAGATATATTTTATATAAAATAAAAGGCAATTAATTATATCAATACATTTATAAACAGTAAAAAAATCAATACACAAACAAAAAAAAATAGTATACCTTTCGTTATTAATAAACGAAACAACATGTTGTCTAAATCAACCACACCAAACCAAACAACATTCATATTTTCTTACTTTGGACTCTAGATTGTTTCCAAAAAAAAGTCCAAAAAAAAAAATAATAATGATAACAAACTTTCTTGTACAACATATACGCAATTAAATAATAACGTGTAACGCGATCAAATAATAATAACTTTATTTTATTTTTATTTTATATTTTACCCAAAGACACTAAGAAAATTAAAAATCGAAGCCAACAAAATGACGTTAAAGCCTCGTTCGTATAAGTATTATTTTATTAAAAGAATTATAATGTTAATTATTATTCTTAGGTTGACCACAGATAAAGAGAATAAAGCAAGTAAATTATACTCTGCCTGATAAAATTGATTTTTATGATATTAACCCTAATTTCTTTGTGAATGGTAAAACTGACTGTTTTGATATTAATACATATATATCTTGTAAATTTTCATCAACAGTTGAAATCTAACAACAACAACAACAACAACAATGACAATAATAATGATGGTGATAACAGTAGTAGTAATAAGATTTGGACATTAGAAAATTTTGATATTGGATGTGGACTTGGTAAAGGACAATATGGGCGTGTTTATCTTGCAAGAGAGAAAACAAGCGGATATATTGTTGCATTGAAAGTGGTGTCCATACCTGAAATTATCAAAGCTAAAACTGAAAATCTATTAAGAAGAGAGATTGAAATACAAAGTAATCTAAGGTTAGACAAATAAATAAATACTTACTTGTGCAGATAATTAATTATTGATGATAATAAATATACTAATTTAACACGTTGATTATTATTATAGACACCCAAATATTCTACATCTATATGGACATTTCTATGATGAAACACATGTATTTCTGATTCTTGAATATGCAGCTGAAGGTGAACTTTATAAGCATTTAGAAAAGTGTACCAAATTTACTGAAAAATGGGCATCAAGGGTTTGTGAATTTTATTCAATCAATCAGTTAGTGTCTAAGGAAGATCCTAATAATGATTATAATTCAATTACCAATCAAAATATCTATTAGTATATTGCTCAGGTGGCAAGTGCTTTAGTTTATCTTCATCAAAAGCATATTATACATCACGATATCAAGCCTGAAAATCTTTTGTTGGATTTTAATGATGAACTTAAAATAGCTGATTTTGGTTTGTCAGTACATACTCCTAGTCAAAGGTAAATAATAATAATATAATAAATATTATTATAATAGTATCTTCACTAATGATATTATATATCTATAACATCCATTACACCATCTAATAAGATGCACAACAGTTTGTGGTACATTGTATTACCATTCACCAAAAATGATCGAGTGTTCAAAAATTGATTTATGGTCTCTTGGCATCTTGTGTTATGAATTATTGTCTGGCACTGCACCATTTGCAGAAAAGGATTGTTCTGCTACGTATGAAAGAATCAGAAGAGTTGATTTTAAAATGCCTCAACACTTTTCAGAAAATGCTAAGCACTTGATTAGATCGGTAAAGCACTTTATCATTTGAAAAATCAAATTATTCCTTTTCTATATCTTTATCTGAATATTTTTATATGATTTCTTCACACACATACACACACATTAAAAAAAAATTTTTAATTAAATTAAAGCTTCAAAAAGATCCTGATAAACGATTACCTTTGGAAGAAGTCTTGAAGCATCCTTGGATCTTAAAGCATAAGAATCCAACCTAATAAGGATAATAATATTAATTTTGTAAAGAACTTATCTGCTCATCAAAAAATCATCACAGGAGAAAAATATTCTCTCATTGTATTTTTTCTTTATTTTAAAAAAAAAGAATGCTTAACAATAGTATTTGAAGTAATTTAAGTAATTACAATTATCTGAAGTAATTTATTTTTAAAAAAATACAAATTAAACAATTAAAATAAACTATATAATATACAATAATAATAATAATGACATGATATATTAAAATTTTCCATTTTCAATTACAATGACATCTATTCCTTATTATCATTTTTGATGATCAAAATAAATAATTCAACATAGTAATAGCAACAAGATATTGCAATAAACAGTCATCCTCAAAAACAGTCACTGGTATCACCAAGCCTAATTTATTAAAAATTATATACATTTATTATATAAAGTAACAACACTTTTAAATGAAAAATCACATTACATAATATTTATTAATTAATTAGGAAAAGTATATCCATCTCATTATTATAACATATATGTATTAGTATAACTAACGTTACAATGTGATAACATTTGTCTTATATCATCTTGATGCTAGTCGGGTTGCTTTTCCTTATTATTATTATGTAACATTAGGTAACACAATGAAAAGAAATAAAATCACATAAGCTTTATTAATATTAATTATACACTCATTATTTATTATAACATGCATGCAACAATGTTATGGTATACC